TGGATAGGGGACACTACCAAGGTCAGGTCAGGGTCAACATGAATTTTTTAAATGGAAATCCCAAATTTTTATTGCATATTCTTGTAGCACACCTCGAGAGCTTTCCAAAACGCTATAATAAAATATTTTTTCATGAAGCACTTTTCGAGTTATAAGGTTTGCATGTTACAGTACCGCTGGCATTAGCATTATCCAAGGTGTCCGACCGACGGCTTGGGTAATGTTATTGCCGGCGAAACTATAACATTTACAAGAATAGGCAATAAAAAATTGGGGATTTCATTTAAAGCATTCATGTTGACTCTGACCTGACCTTGGTAGTGCCCCCTATTCAAAATCCGTTATTTCCACCTTCTTTCCTCCTACAACTTTCATATAAAATTTTTTCTTGTATCTCTCTTAGTTTCTGAGATATTTGCCTGGGGCGATTAAAATGTCCCACCCTGTATATGAATGCATATACATATAAAAGTCATGGAGATTGTTATTATTAACATACTCGTATTATCGATCGATTTAGTCATTAATTTATATATCTAGACATTATTACGCAGTAGTAACATAGAATAGTAATTATAAAGAGAACTATTTGTAATTTATAGCAAATTTAAATTTACAGAAATATATGAAGTGAAGAAAAAATATTTTTTTACTACTACAATATGTTTAATAAAAAGCAATAAAACTAGTAATGTAATAAATTCTGCAAAAGAAAAGTTTAATCTTTAAATTTAATAATGTCTAGATGTTTTTATTAAACTATTCATAGACAAGATCAGAAAATGCAATTAAATGGATATCATGAGGAACGAATTAATACAATTATTAGAATTATTATAATATATTATTTTTAATATCGACGTGTCGTAATTAATTAAATTTTCGAGTGATTCAATACTTAAAAAAATAGTAAAAAATGAAAGAAGAAAGTAATACATGTATAAAAGTGCAAATATGTTTCAAATGTAAAAATTTAATTTAATTTTCCATTTATGATATCTATATTTCTTATGGATGAAAATGTATTAAAAGAAGATGCTTATTGTGTATTTATACTCGTATACATTTACATAAAATAATAAATTATATTATTTATAAAAAGTAAGGAAAAAATGTTGAAATGCTTTTATGTTATTTTATTTTTCTTTTTCTTTTCTAACAAGGGAAGTTTCACAACTGTCTGGAACCAATTTGATTCTCCATAAAATATGTTGTAAAACACAAAAATCTAAAAGACACATTTTTTTTATACATGCACTAACAAAATTTTTTTTAATTTTTTGTTAATAATTCTCTTAGATTTTCGTGTTTTACAATATATTTCATGGAGAATCAAATCGGTTCCGGACAGTTATGAAACTTCTCTTCTAAGTTAAATAATGTCTTCTAAATTAAATATTTTAAGTGATGTCTGAGGCAGCTGAGCTTGTGTTTATTCATTTTATACATATACATAATGTATTATATTATAAAAATCTATATTGTGTTTCTCTTTAATTAAATTATCTATTTAACTGATTCAGAAAATAATATCTTGACGGATACTATGAAGCTGGCAATTCGGACAGTCTGAGAGGAGGAGGAGGTTTAGGAGAAGCATCGAGCCCTGGCGGAGCAACCTTGTGGTGAGTGTTTCTTATTTGAATAAAAATAATTATTTTTTGTATTCGCAAATTTTATCTTGATGATTTAAAAATAACAATTAAAGGAAAAGACCTATAAGAAAATTTATAAAGTTTATTCTTACAAAGGATCTTATAAGATTCTTATAAATGAAAACCTTTATTTAAATTTTGTAATTATTTTCAAGTAATATTTAAATAAATTCAAAAAGGATTAGATAAAGAATTATAAATATAATAATTAGTGAAATGATGAATATTTAAAACACTGCTTTAATATATATGTTATATTTATATGTTACTGAATTATCATAGTCAACGTTATAGATAATTCCGTCATTGCGCATCGATCAGTGAGTGAGAAAATAATTTTTTAATTCAGATAACGAATCTGTGGCAATTATATTACATATAGCAAGTGTATTTCGATTTACACGTCAAATTAGGATAACAAATCAGCGTACAAAAGTATTACATTTCATATATCCGTTAACATAGATAGGCTATAACTAATTTTAACAAATTAATCTTGAAATCATCTCTTATTATTGAAGAAATATTCACACATTTCGCACTTTTAGTCTTACAGCACATTCTATGCAATTTATATTATAAAAAAACATGTGCTAATAATTATTAGAATATATAATAATTAATCATCAACATTTATTTTAATAAAGAACCAATTTTACTCTGATCTTTTTATGGCTTATCCATTTAAATTTAATTGGCAAATTGATTTTATCTTTTGCCAATACTTATTATTCATATCTTTATTTTATTATTTACATACGAGAAAACATCTGTAACAGTTCTGATTAACATAATCAACTTAAAGTTTGGATAGATAATATAGTTCACACGATCTCTTCGCCCAATATCGTATGTTCTCGCATATAGTCATTCGTCACATTGCGAAATCGTGTAATTTACACACGAACATTCGTCATCGTCCGACCAGTCACGCACAACATTCTCTGCCAAGCCCTCGTAAAGTCTCCCCGCGTAAATCTTACGTGACAGCGGGCCACTACCGGCGAACCCCGATCATTTCTTCCCGCATAGAAAGTGATCATGGCATTAGAAAGTGCATACTGTAGGAGAATGAAAGACATCGTGTCGATGGCGACCTACATTTCCCATTCGCGCGCGGACAACGCATCCTACAGCTATTCTGAAGATTCTAAATGATCTATTGATCGATATACAATCGTCTTCGCTTAGTTCATGATCTCATATAATTTGTCAAGCGGCGTTACATATAGATTTTTACGGGTCCTTGAGATGAATTTAACGCTTTATTTATTCAAACTTTGATAATCGCTTAAATCATGAACGTATAACGTAATAGCGTTGAAATCGAAGTATCGTGGAATCTGGCAGCGTGCCATTAACGAAGCTGGCTATAAAATCACCCGGGTATAATATACAATCGAGTTCGGTGTCGTGGGAATCGATACTAAAAGTTACAGGCGGTCCTCCGTCGGGAATTTTTTTCCTCTTTTTCAACGTCAAATCCATTACAGAGAAAATTGTACTCTACTGTGTGGGCACGTATTGGAAAAAGTTTCGTATCATCTGGATTTTCGCGAGGCTGTATGTGTGTATCGTCTTACGTAAAAGAAAACAATCTGTAACGTGTAAACTAAAATGGAAGTTAACAGCTGGTTCGTATTGATTGAACGGTAAAATGTGAACGTCTGAAAAAAAAAATAATATTTAAAGGCCGGATATGTAACCATTACGTTTTACACGGGTGATGTAAGAAGCATGGTTGAAGAAAATGAACCTATTATTCGAACAGGAATCTTTCATACAGGACAATGCAGGAAGCAGACGTTCGTTAATTAGCAGGTTATCTTTTTTGCTATTCGCTCGTAAACGCCACTTTCGGTTTGCGATGAATCACTTTTTTTTTCTCCCCAAGTTAAACCGTCGCTTTATGAACGCCGAGAGAACCGCGCCTATATCTCTCGTCTGCAGGCAATGCGAATTATCACGTCGGAATGTACGTTTTATCCTGCTAAGCCGTCTGCACATCATTCTCTCTCACGTATCTACATCTTCTCTCTATCTGCATATGTAGTCGTGTTCGCCCCTGCTTACCGAGTTTATCAATTTCTCGTGGATTTCTCCGTAAAACTTGCATTTAATATTCTTCTTTTATCATAAAATAAAAAAGAAGCCTGCTCGCATAAAATGAGAGTTGCATCGATTACTCGCGAGACGTACGGATGATTAAAGCTTAATTACGTAATGGCGGTAAATCAGACGCGGTAGAGAAGCATGAATAATGCTCGCAATTCGTATCGATGTAACTTAGGCGATGCAGATCGCTTCGCGATACGATAATAAAAGCCATAGAGGTAGAGCTCACACCTCCGCACGTGCCGTTGATCCGCGCGCGCGTTTATGCCCGGCGTCAACGATAAAACAGAGCTTACATCATCAACCGTGACATAAGTAATTGGCAATCAGCTGAGATAGATTTACGCGTGTGGGAAGCCACACAGTCCGACTATGATTGACTTTTACGCGTCGTTACTTCATTTTATTCCGTTTGGAACAACCGAAGGAACGTTTCGAGCGACGTCTTTGCAGAATTTTTAAAAATAATTTTCAGTTATGTTATTAACCCTTTGCGACTTTGCGATCTTTTATTGTTTTTGACATAATGCTTGGAAATAATTTATTGCATAACTTTTCAAACATTAAATCTGATTGTAATCGATAAACTATATTTTTGGTAAACTTAATTATTTTGAAGGAAATGATTCCTCAAAGGAAAAATACTTTGAATAATAAAATTTCCTTAAGTAATAAAAATTTTTTTATTCATGTTAGATCAACCTGTTTACTAGAATCGCCAAAAATGCCAGTTTGACTAATCATTTAACTTTTTCTATTTTGTATTATTAGATATACTTACATCAGTACAGAATATTGAAAATATGTGAATATAATAAAAAAAAAACAATATAATGAATAATTCTGACGGTATAAATAATACCGAAATAACTGCTCATAAAACAAAAACAAGGATAGAAAATTATCAAATTGTCACTTTCGGGTGCTATTTCATTTATACGTTTTTGTCATACGACAAATGTGTGCAGAGAGTCCTCAGATCTCTCTATTCTATAACTAATCAATAGGCTTGAAAAATTTGTTGTACGATAAAAACGCACAGATAAAACAGCGTCTTTTGGCGGTTCTAATACTGACAGTAATAAAATTCTAATACTGACAGTAATAAAATTGAGAATGAAATATTTGAGTTTTATTCATTTATTAAAAATAATTTAAATTGCAAAGGATTAAAAAGATGTTTTCGACAACAGTAAAAAAAATAAGCAATTGATTGCAGTGATTACTTACCGACTTTAGAATGGACGTTCCTGAGATGTAAAATCACGCACAGCAAACACCAAAACCAGCGGGTCATTGTTCTTGCCTGCAAAAAGAAAATATCACAATAATAATTATACATATATATATACTATATAATAAAAATTAATTAAAATAATATATTACATTAATTAATAAAAATTAATTAAAATAATATATAATCGCAGTATTATTACTATTTTAATTAAAATGCACATATAATATTGAGCAGATCGTAAAATGCTAAATTGCGAAGAGATCGCGCGTAATCAGTCTGATGAGATCTATTCGCTAGAGAGATCATTGTATTCATAAGCCATGCTCTTGCTGCCATCGTTGATAATAATCCTTAGTTAGTAGCGCATCGTGAAGCACAAGACAAACTTTTCGTCACGAATTTATTCGCGGCATACGTTACTTCGTCGTGAATTATGCAATTCGTTTTAATGCAGAGACGATGACAAATGACTTCTTTAAACACGCGCCGTATAAGCTACTAATTTTAAACGTACATTTGAAATGAAATGAACTGCTAATTAAAATTAAACTTTTCTTAATTACAGATATTCTTGTTAATGATATTTCTAAATCTTTTGGGAGTAACTAGAGAAATATAGTAATAAAACAAAACTTCGATTCAGACTTAACAATTTCTTAAATATACATGTGTAATAATTGAGATGGACTTTTGAAATTAATATGTCTTACATGCATTTCACATTTTCAACAAGCGACGGTATACACTTACTGAATTATTTGGACGAGCGGCATGCAATATGCTAATCTCCGATATTCCGGGGCATGGTTTCTGGGCGCTTATCGAAGCGGAAAGGATACAGGATTGGAAATTTAGCGGGATGGCACATACAGGATATGGACAGAAGCGCGTTTATCGGGAGCGCGTTCTCTTTCACATGCGGAGACTCCGGAAGAATTTCGCGAGAGTCAGCAGGATCGATAGCGCGCGGGCGGCTCTGTGAGGTCTTATGCTAATGCGCCGTTCTTGTAATAAGGCCGTGTGCCAGCGTGAACAAAATGCCGAACGAAGGAAAACAATGTTATCGGCTTCGCATAATCTCGCATAGCAGAGTTGCGCTCTTCTCATCCCGCACTCGAGATGAAACTCTGCCACCGTTTCTCATCTAAACGTGCGAGCTTCCGCAGGAATGACTGATCCACAGTCGTTTGGGCTTAGCGAATCCACGGATCCGAGCTCACTCATACATTTACACATTATACATATGTTCTAATCACCATTGCTACCTCTGGTTTTCGATCAGAAACTCCGACTTTTTGAACGAATATTCAGTTCTCCAGCTAATCTATTCAAAATTTTGATACGTAATGAATCTCTTTTTATGTGCACGTGTCGATTTTTTTTTTAGTTTGGAAAAGAAACCTTCC